GGTTCAAATGGGTTGACACAACAAAAATAGATTTGTACAATTGGGCTTTTGTGTTATTCGTAAAATTATGATATGGAAATATGGTTCAGTATATTTTTAAAATCGAACTAATTCTGAGTGGTTCGATTTCAAAAAATAGTTTCGTCGGACCGATCGATCGATCGAAGAGATCGAAGAAGAATACTCCGAATCGAAATCATTTATAATATTCATTTTAGTAAAAATGAATTATTCCTAAAAGCTAATAACTTCATATTGCCAGAAGTTAAACAGAAGACAAGAAGGCCTTTTTATATCTCATGCTGGTGGTTTTCCACTATCGTTACTAAACCCCCCCCATGCATGAATCCCTCCCTCCTTTAGGCAAACATGTATGACTGCATCCATTTCATGTCCCCCCAACTGCAGCCTTTTTAGAATTGTACATTGAAATCTTTCATCCGCTGAATCCGAATCCTTTCTTCTCATTGGCAAGTTTGGCACTAAATCATACAGCCACTGAAACCTCATTCGATTTGGTTGGATGGCACAATACAAGTAAAGATGGACAGCAGATAAATGAATACTTTAGTTGACAATGTGCAAGTACAGTGTTCTGACTACGTCTCTCGAGTGCACATGAGAGACCACATGCACGCAGACAACACGGCAAGGAGGATATAAGGAGAAGAAGAGAGAGAGAGAGAGAGAGAGCGAGGCATCTCCACCTCCTCCTCCTCTTCTTCCTTCTTATTCTTATTTGTTGGGGGGAAGAGTAGGAAGTCGTCATTGGTGGCAACACCTCCCCCCTGCTTTGGCAGTTCCTCTGCTTTTGCCTGTTTCATCTCGGAGGAAGTGATGTTTCGAACGATGCGGTAGGAACTTCGATTCGATGTGTTTGAATTGAAGATTTGCCTGTCACTCGACGTCCAATTCACCAGTTTCAAGACGTCTGTTGCTTGAAGGTGAATCTTACTGCAGTGGTTGGTAATAGAAGAAGCATTGGTTGGTTGAACACGCAACAGTCGACAAGATTCTGTGCCGTGCCGGTCTCATCTACTTGCCTCCAATTTTTCTTTCCTCACATCCACTTGCATTGCACGTGATTAATTATCGGAAATCGCCATCCTTGTGTTGTGATCTGTGGTGTGTCAAATAGGGTTGGGTTTATGGTAGAAGAAAATGTTGAGCACCAAAGTGAATGGCTTGCAGATAAACCTGAAGGTAGATAGATGCTGAAGCCTCGGAAACCTCTCTCGAAACATCCCAATCCCAATAATTTGAGCACTTACCAAAAACATTTTACTCTCTATATAATCTATCGATTTTATGAATCTCATTGTGTTCAGTATGAGGTGAAACTTCAGATTCAAATGGAGAACAGCTCAAAGTTTTGTAGGTAGTGGAGACAAATCCCTGTCTCACACGGAGGACCACAGCCGGCCACAGCTGGTTTGAATGGCTGCTCCGCCTCGGAAGTCATCTCTCCATTGGCTTTGTGCTTATCCACTCTTTTTATCTTATCCTGTTGGGAGTAGCCACATCACATCGGTGGATTATTCAACCATGTAACCATCATCACTCGTTTCTTTCGATTCTTTTTTGTCGAGTTAGTATGTTGTCATCAACAGTGATTATAGGGGTCAACCAACAGCGCATGTAAGAGCAGAAACGAAGACCAGAAAGAGAAAAAGGAAGTGAAATTATTTGTAGTTTCTTATGAATCCTTTTCTCTGTCTACAGTGATGTCAGCTACATTGGATCACCACGGAAAATCAAAAAAAGTAAAAGTGAAAGCCATCGAAGGGAGAAGAGAGAGAGAGAGAGAGAGAGAGAGAGAGGGCATGGCAGAGGAGAACATGGACAACTCCAGCTCTGTCTGTGGCTCTTCATGTCCTTGGCACTAAACTTCCAAGTGGTCCTTCTGCTCCCTTTCGCTGACCTAATTCCCTCCAGAAACCAGTGCGGCCTTGTGTCACGGTTTGGGTTTCTGTACTTGGTATGAGAGATTGCTGTCTTCTCTTGGTGGGTGGTGATGGGTAACTAGAGCTACTATGGCGATGGCAATGATTAGTGGTAGCAAGGGATGTGTTGTGGAGGTGTATTAGCTGAATGATTGCTCACAGACTGCTGAAGCTGAGCCTTCCCATGCCCAAGCTTCCGCTAAGATTGAGTGGCTATAGGGAGGCCAATGGAAGGTTTACTATAAAGCTTACACTTAAAAGATGATCACAAGAAGAAGAAGAAGAAGAAGGAGAAGGGAAAGGAAAAGGGAAGAGGAGAAAAAGAAAGGAAGATAGCATGAGACTTTAACCATTCTGCAACTTTTCTTTTCCTATGTTCCACTATGCTTTTTGCTTTACTAGGTGTTGCCTGCTATTGGTGGAGTCTTCAGTAGATGAAGAGGGAAGAGGCTGTGGCTTACATTCCAATTGCTCCATGGCCCGAGGAGAACCTGGCGACAGCCACAAGTGGGCCTGCGGTCAGATCTTTTACGTGCATGAACTGTGGGAGACCAAGCTTCATGAATCCGTCAGTGCTTTTACCTTGGCATTTGGAGGAAGCATGGACTCAAGGAGGAGGACTTGTCCAAGGAAGAGGTGGTGGGAAGCAATGTGGCGGAAATTAGATTGTTCTTGTTGTTGTTGCTGCTGCTGTTATTAGTTGGAATGTAAGAAGCAGACATGTCTTCTACGGTGGAGAATGAGTCGAGCGAGAACGAAGACTTGGTCGGTGAAGCAAATGGGCTGTCAGGCAAGTTATGCTCGGCACTGCAGCCATTCTTGGCGTTAAGAGGAAAAGAGAGAGAGAGAGAGAGAGAGAGAGAAAGAGAGCGAGCAAACCTTTCTTGGAAATCACCGTCTTCGTTGAGGTTGGCCTCACCAGCAGACTCCTCGTTCTCTGCCTTCCTGTGCAGTAACCCGAGGAAACTGTTCACCTTCTCTTCCGGTGCAGCGACTCCGAGGCACTTGTCTGCATTAAGAGCAAAGATTAACTGTAACAAATGAGCTATGAACACTATCACCGAAACAAGGAGCATTGCTCGATAAGCTAAATCACCTTTGGTTGGTGAGTCCTCCTGACTACTGCTGCTATTGCTGCCATTGCAGCTGCTGTCCACATTGCTACTTGATTGAGTGACGGTGGTGATGGAAGGGGAGTTGATGCAGGCCGGGGCTGAGGAGGAGAGGCTTCTGCTGTTTAGGTCGAGGAATTGGAGGCCCATAAATCGCCTTCCTTGCAGCTCGATGGCTCGCTGCAGCGCCTCCGCTGCTTGTTGCCGCTCCTCTAGCTTTCTTCTCAGCATCTGCTGGCTGACGCTGCTGCTGTTGTACAGCATCCTTGCTCCTGTTACACCACCATTACGTACCCTCGGAACAAAATAGAATGAGAGAACGAGGAGAAGAAGAGAGGAAAGCAGCAAAGACTAACCAAGCTGTTGAAGATCATAGGCTTCTCTGGCGTCCATGGCGGTAGGAGTCGTACACCCGGAGGGATCACTTCTCTCAGCCTGCTGCTGCAGATTCCTGAGGTGAGAGAGGGCGAGAGACCGCCACTGAGCGTTAATGACAGAGATCATTGGCACGGATCAAGAAGAGGAGGACATGGTTCTGATGAAGGTTGAGGAGGGAGGAGTGCCTGTACTTGTCGGGAACCTTTCCCTTCTCCTTGTAGGGCTTGACGAGAACCCGGGAATCGCGGACGAAGTGCGGGTTCCCCTTGGCCAAGATCACCTTCACGGTATCGGGGTAGACGAAGGTCACGAAGCCGAACATCCTCTTCTGCTGGTACGGGATCCTCACGTCTTGCACCGGCCCGTAGATGCTGCAAGCCATTGACCAAAGATTACAACTTTGAGCAGAAGAGATGAGACTGTGCCCATGGAGAGAAAGGATTAGCCACCTGAAGTAGTTGGAGACATCCTCTTCCCTGAACGTGCTGTCAGCTGGGAAGGTCAAGTAGATCTGCCTCGAACCAGGGTTGCCCATCAGGTCGCTTCTCTCCATTCTTGATCTGGCCATGAACCTATGGGCCTCTTCTCCTCCCAGCATCAGCGCCGCCGCCGCTGCTGCCGCCCTGTAGGAGTAGTCCTCCTCAGTCTGGAGTCATTCATGTAAAGTAGACATACACCAAGTTCATGCAAGAAAGATGCTACCTTTGGCTGTCATTTTGCTGCTGCTGAAGCAAGAAGCTGAGGCATTTGCTCGAGGACGACGACGACGGAGATGGT